TAGGATCCCCCACAAGCCCAACCCCAGCCCACCCCTACACACGTCCCTCAGGGCCACATCCCCACAGCTCTGGAACACCCCCAGGGCTGCTGACACCCCGATTCCCCACCCCTGGGTAGGCAGTGCAGGTGCTGACCTCTCTTCGGAGAGGAGATTTCTCCTAATATCCAATCTGAAAAAAGTCCTTTTTGCATGCAGCTGAGCATCCTAAGAAGAGCTCTTCATTCTATGCACAACTGGTCCTACATGTCTGGGTGACACAGACCAATACATCTCCAGACAGTGAGAGCCACCCTGAACAAATCACAGCTCTCACACCTGTAGCAGCTTTCAGGACCAGCAGGTGCAACAGGCTCTATGGTGAGGAATCTCCACATCCCTGGAGATGCCTTTACAGTAAGCCATTGGTTAAAGGCAAGCATTTGCCATGGCTTAAATTCTTCTGAACATTGTTTGGCTGAAAACACTGCAGACCCTGGGGCTGCTCCATGGACACAGAGCCCAGGGGCCAGCAGTGAGCTTGGCTGGAGCTCAGCAGCACACTGACACAAAGAGACATACTGCTCCCCTACCTCAATCCATGGTTATAAGCTCCTACATTTATCTACGTTAAACTTCACTAGCTATAAAAACCAGCTCCCAGAGTTTAAATTTCAACTCTAAACTTAGTAGGTTTGTTTTTTGGGTTTTGGTATTTTTTAAAGCATAGAACCATTTGAGTTGGAAGGGTCCCTTCTAACCCCACCGTGCTGTGATTCCAGGAAAAGCCTCAAAGGCATCAAGTAGTTCTGCTGTGAATCTTGTATGTGCCTAAAGTACTTTTCCTTAATTAGATATTTCTTCTGCTCAGAAGACACCAGGGGACCATTATGATCTCTGCTACAATGCAAGAAAACAAAGCTTGCAGCTCCACGCTTACATCTGAAAAATATAAATGGTCTGGCTTACAAAGCCCCAGTTTACTAAACACAGCCCATGCAGCCTGTGATGGCAGGCTGGATGTACAGCCAGAAATATTGCTGGCATTCTCACATCAAACCAATTACAGGTGCTGCAGAACCCCATGAAAATGCCATTGAGTGCAAGCACCCAAGCAGTGGCTTCATGGTGCTGCTGTCCTGTGCACTCAGTGAGAAGCCACGGAAACACACCAGCAAGCACCAGCACAGCAAAGCCACCACAACCTGGAGGAGCAGCACACTGCCTTCACCTGGAGTAAAAGCACACAGAGGAGAAATTCTTGAGGTGACTGCTATTCAAACCTCATTTACTCTGTTTCTTCGCACCAGCCTCGCTGCATTGCTAAGCAACCCTGCTTCCAGCACAGCCTCAGCTCCCAGTGCTGCATGCTCGCCTGCTGCACCCCAGCACCTCAGGTTCCCCCATTTTCTCCTCACTGCAGCATTTTGTGGAGCCTGCTCAGGCCAAGAAGGATTAACATGTATTGAAGAGGACCCTGCAGGTACAAAGCAAAATGTGAAGCGGCTCACAGTGCTGCAGATCAGCCCGGGATCCCCTGCATGCCAAGGAGGGCACAGAGCAGTCGCTCCTTGGGCTGTGCTTCTTCCAGGGAACTGAGCACTCCCGCGGTGCCATAAGCACTATTTGATCTGGACACCCTTCATCCCATCTCTTTGCCGTCTTTCACCTGAACCTGTTCTGAAATTTCTTTGATACCAAACCCACAAACAGCCAATTCCCAGCCAGATGACCCCGCAATCTCCCCAAGCCAAGTGTTTTGGTAAGTGGCTGGAGTGCCTTACAACTGCAGCTTCATAAACTTCACCTTTCCTTATCAGCTTCTCACTCACTACACTCTAAATTCATCCACAGGAGAGTGGATAAAACCCACACACACTTTTAGTAGCATGCATTTCTCATATAACATACAAAAAGGGCTTCTGTCGATTAATGCAGCGCTCTGTATGGCAGCAGGTCTCCCGTGTGCAGAAACCCATCCAAGACCACTCCAGGTCTTGCTACATTGCCTCTAATCATGCTGAGAGTCCTGTTATTTCATGTATCTATATATAGATACATCATTTTCCTGCATATTTTCTTCCAGTTGAATCTCACACTGAGGTTTGGATCTTCATGGAACTCACATCTCATCAAAAAGCATTTTTCTCTCTGAAAAGTAGTTTTCAGAAAGGCTCCACCTGACTCAGCAGGTCAGCTCCCCACGTGCATTCACAGTGCTGGCTGTTGGCATTAGGGACAGAAATAAGTTCTGACTTTTATTCCACCAATTCTACAGTCTGTGTACAGCCAAAGCTGAAATGAGGTCTGCTGCACCCCCACAGGTCACCACTCAGTGCTCACTCCTGAAATTCGGAGCTGCCTCAGAGTTTGTTAACAGCTGGAGTTGCTCTGGGGGCTCAGAGTGTATCTTCAGACACAGCAGTCAGGAAAACACCACCCAAGCCTCACTTTGTGCTATCACAAAGCAATTTCTTAGTCCGGAATTGCACTTCAGAGCCACTCTCCTTATCAGCACTGCTAGCCCTCGGTGTTGCCCAGCGCTGCCCGCCAAGTGTAATTTCCCTCTTCTTTCCTCTCAGGCTCTTATTCATGCCAGGCATCAGTAAGTGTAACATTGCTCCCACTTCCTCTCTTAAATGCTAATAAAAATGTCACATCACTATGGTAGCAGTATCAGTTCTCTTTCAGAGTGACGTGTTGGCACAGACAGGCTTCCCCACCTGGCCCTGATGCAGAGGTCTCTGCAGTTATCACCCAGCCTCAGCCCACAGATCACAAAACACTCCCAGGGCTGGGCTGCAGCTCAGCAGTTTCCTCCAGGATTCACAGCATCTGCAGCACAGCAGCTCACTTGGAAGTCACAGGATCACAGAACCATGTGAGATGGAAGGACCCTTTAAAAGCCATCTGGTCCCACTCCTTCTCAACAAACAGGAACACCCACAGCTCCATAGGTGCTCAGATTCCATCTCCTGACCTTGGGTGTCTGCAGGGATGGGGCACCAGTGCCTTTCTGGGCATCCCGTGCCAGTGCCTCACCTGCCTTAGCATAAAGAGCTTCTTCCTTATACCTGATCTAAAGCTCCCCTCTTAATTTGAAACCATTTCTTTGTGTCCTGTCACAAGGGATCACTCTGTGGCCCTGGTACAGCTCTGGTAGCACCATTCTTCCTTACGCTTAAGCAACTGTTTGCCTCATTCTTACACACACGCAGCGAGGCACAATCTATTTTGAGCTCCCACATATCCATTCAAGCAACAGCTTCACAAATGAAGCCCCGCTTCAAGTACAGCAAGCATCAACTATAAAGCACAACACTCATAGCTATGCAATATTGCATGTTTTTAGTGGAAAATCATAACTGATTTAATTCAAAAAAGGGCTATGCATATAAAGACCACATTTTATTAAATAATCAATTTAAATTCAAAGTCGATTAAATAAGTTTTATTCAGAATCTTCGGGAGAAGCTCAAAATAACGTCTGCCTCCCTCTGCTCGGTGAAAACAGCAGCACAGCCTCCCAACACAAATGGCAAGAGCAGAGCACACCCCTGTTTGGGAAGTTCTCTCACTCTGCTTGATGGCTGTCACAAGGCAGACCTCAGACCCTGCTGCACCATGGCATCAGCACGCACTGCCTCACAGGCTGGGAAATGACTCCAGATTCAGCAGTCACCTTAGAATGAAACCAGTCCTACAGCAAATATTACAGGTGGCTCAACTTTAGCCATGTTAATAAGCAACTGTCTACTCTCTATTGCTACAAAATTGAATTTGATAGCAATCCCAGGAGCCCATGCGTTACTAAGCTGCAGCCTTTCAGTAACACCCACTTCTGGGGTTTCACCATTTTCCTTGGAATAACTGCTTGCAACAGTGAAGCCCATTAAAATCTGGGCTCAGGTTGACAGCAAAGACAACACCACCATCCTTGGGGTAATTACAATTCAATTGTTCCGATTTTTTTAATTTAAAAAATGCCTTTTATTTCATGATTGTTCTCTGACAAAACAAACTCAAGCCTCTATCATCCATGCCCACCCCGACACCTCGCCCAGAGCTGCCTCCAGGAGCACTGCAGGAAGCAGGGCCCCAACCACTGCCAGGGCTCCAACTCCCAGCTGCTGGGACCTGGAGAAGAAGCGGAGAGAAGCCTCCGCTGGGTGCATCTGCCCTGTTTGGGGCACTGGCCCAGCACCCATGCCTGGCACTGGGGACACCACAGCCCTGAGCTGAGGCCAGAGCTGCTGCTAGCCAGCCTAGTTGGTGCTGAGGAACAACAGCTGGGCACATTTTGCATGAACAAAGGTACACTTGATACCTTATGCTTCATATGCCTGCTTCTCAAGAGCAAGGAAGCCAGCTCTCTGTTTTAAGGCAATACCACAGTGCTGCAAATCTGTTTGCACACACCTCTGGAAACACTGCCTGTGGGAAAACAAATATTGCTTGAATTAGCAGCACGTCACATCAAGTTTAAAAAAATCCAATTTCTCACCTCCCTGAAAACCCCCAGCTATAAAGATATGATCACCAACAGGCACCACCTGCACTACTCTGATCAAATCAGAAAAGCAATTCCACCAGTAGAAGAAGGCTGTACTTCACCTGCTAGTTCTCACCCAGACACCCAGCTAAGCCCTTGAGATTTATTCCTTGCCCGAAAAGCAAAAGCAACACCAAGTGTACAATCCCAAGCAACAGACCTGTCCTTCACATTTAATCTGCCCAGTTGGACTCTCCAGAAGCCAGCCCTCAGGTCTCTACAGCTCATCCAATTCCTCCAGCACAATGCACAGTGCCGTTCCAGACAAATGATGGGGCTCTTAATGGATGCTTAATATGTCAAAGGCACGTATTTTTAATTAACAGCATATAGTTTGACATCACGGGTGATTCGCTACCCACACATCTGACTAATACACTGTCTCCAGACCAGCTGAAGAGATAAAACAACAATAATAAAAGCAGCTTTTATAAATCCAAGCACAAAAGAGCTTAGAACCAAAGCTGGACATAAGCACATATTATTGTCATTCCCTACAGTGGCTTTTCTCATCATCGAGGTGGCCTTTTCCCATCACATACTACAGAATAAAGAGATTTACAAAATCAAGAGCATCAGAGAGCTGTTAGGCAGGGAAATCTCAGACTTCCTGCTTATCTCACTACCTTACCAGCATGCGCACTGTGTAAAATATGATGTTGACATTCTGCCAGTAAAACTGTGACAACTCAGCCATCGCTTTGTTTTCTCTTCTCACACTTTCTGGGCTTTCTGAACAAGCATTTGAAGCAGTAAGTTCGGTAGGGATAATTCCCACTGGAAACCAGAGCTGCACAGTTGTCCTCTCTCATTCGGGAGGTGCAAGAGCCATGCTCAGAACTGGTGTGCTGTGAGGTCAGCTGTGCTGGAGCTTGGGCCATCCTCTCTGAAAGTCCCTAGAGAGGGGCTTGGTTTGCAGACGTTCTGATTAACGTTCATCCTTTGTGAGATCAGAGACAGATGTGGGTTTCTGGCTGGGCCGTAGGGAGGTTGGAGGCAAAGGCACCTCAAACAAGCACATGGTGGACAGAGGTCTGCAGCAGGCTCAGACCCAGCTGGAAGGGGGCAAGAAAAGCAACAGAGGAGGTATCAGAGTCTTTACACAGAGAATGCAATTAAAAGGAGCCTGATAATCCATTTACCTCAATTAAATCAAGGAGGTGGGCTGGGCACCCATAAACCAGCAAGTTTCCAGACTGCCAGGCTCATATTCACTTAACCCATGAAACACAATCTTTGTTGTGTTTACACCATAATACACAGTGCTGAAAGGATGTTTCAGATAGCAATACGATACTGAAAAGGACATAAAAGTCAGGAATGATGGCCTACATGTGCAAGCAAAAATATATCCTAGTCCAGCAGGAAAGAGAAACACATGGTCTTCAAATAATAAGCCTTCATTATTCACATTTTTTTAAGTGTCATGAAGTGATCTTAAGCATTCAAGTAAGCCTCAAACAACCTATGAATACAGAATTAATACACTTAATTAAGAGGCAGCATGATATGTTTATGGATGAGTTGCAGCACAACGGAAGCAGTAAGGACAGAGCCAAGCACAGAGATGTATGGTGCAAGAGGTCTGAGGAAGCACAGGAACGTGGCTGCCCCACCATCTCCCCCATGCACTGCAGAAATCCGGCAAGGCATCCACTGCTGGAAGTGATCATATAATCATTAAGGTCAGGAAAGAACTCTAAGGTCATGAAGTCCTACCTCCCAACCATCCCCACCATGCTCACTGACGGTGGCCCTAAGCGCCACATCATCAATGAGTAGCATTAATTACTTCAGTGTTAGAATGAGCATTAGAGAGAATTGGACCTAAAAAACTGGATTGCCTCCAGTAAACTGCAGTTGCACTGATACTCCCAGCTAAAAGCACACTAATTCCCAGACACCTGCAGTAAATAAGAGGAGAAAAGCCCCACTTCCCAGTGATACATAAAGCAGGCTGCTGCTCTCTGCAACTCGTGCTGTAAGACAAGTGACATTCTTTCAGTTTAATGGCCTGCAGAGCTCAACCAAAAGCGTGGTAACTTCAACAAGGTAACATGGGTCCATTTTTACAGCCTCCACACTGAAATCTTTGTAGAAACTCGAGGCAAAAAGCCCCACCAGAACTTTCAGCAGGCAGCAGGAAGAATTTGGCTGTGACCCATAGCTCCCCCTTGATGAGGCAGAAAACTGAGACAGATGGAGCAAGGGAACAAAAGCAAAGGAGAAATATAGCATGAAAGGGGCAGAACAGTTGAAATCCGGAGTATTTCAACTAAATGAGGGCAGCATATTAGGAGCAATCCTCAAGCTCAGAGCTGCTTTCAGAAGCACAGCCATAATCTACAAAGAGCCAAAGGATTCCTGGCTTTGCCTTGGCCCTAGGACTGGATTAGTTAGGAAAAATCAAAAGAAAAACACAAAGACCACAGCTGAGTTCTCACGGCTAAGCCAGTGTACACAGCATTGTATTTAAAGTCCTTTACGGCTCAGTGACTTCCACACAGCAACCATGCTTGCCATAATCCTCATCTGCACAGCAGCCTCTCAGCTCTGCCCGGAGGAGGAAGCTGCCTTGTCACAGACGGGCCTGTCCCTGGGCACCGGGGGACGAGCAGCACTGAACTTCAGCAGGGCCAAAATAAAAAGGGTTTGCCCTTCAGAGAAAGATGGCAAAATCATGGCAAGAAGTCTTTGTAAATAAAGCTGTAAGCCAGAAATGGAGGTCCAAAACCAACAGACCTCATGATTTGGAGGTAGCTAGGAAACCATACAGCCTGAAGAGGCAGAGAGCGCTCAGAAAAAAGCCAAAACATCCCACATCCTAGATTACGATCCTCAATATTCCAATCACAGCCACCTCCCAGAAGAATGGATTTTCTTTTCTTCAACAGGTTGGAGAAACATTGTTTTGGCATAAACAAGGCCAAGTAATGCTACAACAGCTACAGGAACAGAGCAGTGCCCACAGCTGTGAATTTGGGCTCCTGCAACCATTTTCCCCAGGGAGGATGAAGCAAGAGCACAAAGTACAGCATTGAAGAGGAAAGCAACTCCAGAAGATGGAAACCCAGAGCACTTATTGATGACAGTGCTGTCACAGACACAATTTAGCGTCACGTCAGAAGTGTACAAACAGCTGACATATTAACATACAGCAGAAGCTTTGACAAAGCATTAAGGGTGAAATACCTTATTAGAACAAACATTCTGCGAATAACTGGTGATAAATGACTTCTGAGAAGTTTCACATAAATAAGCTTGAAGTTGCAATTTTTCTGCAGTGCTGTCAGTCTCACATCAGAGAAGGTCAATGAATATTGTCTTCATCTTCTGAGAGCTTCTGCATTTGAGGCTTTGTTGTAGCAGTAAGACATGATGGAGAAAGAAGTCTTTGTTGGATTGTATTTCTCACCCTAACAAGAACTATTCTTACTAAAAAAGAAAAAATGAGAGCACATTAACATTCATAATTACTCCTTTTTGTGTCACACTAGTGGGACAAAGATGGATAAGTTGTCTAATAAAATTTCACATAACCAAACTGAGCGTAAAGGTGATCTGCAGAACAAAAGTCTGGCTCGTTTCTGTACTGAAACATTCACCTGCTTTTATGCATTTCATTCTCCCACACACCAACATGGGTTGCAGCAGTTAACTGCAGCTAGCAGAAACCAGCAGTGCCACAGCCCACTGAGCAGCTGCAGTCAGGCAACAGACTGCAGTACGTGCTGAGTGATGCTGTGCAGTGCGCTGGAGAAGCAGCAGGATTGCTGATCTGTTCTGGGCAAAGTGAAAACCACAGATACAAGAGCACATAACCCAGGCCTCAAAAGCACTGTAGCTCTGGTTGTTGATCTGCTTGTCCAACTGCTCTGTTCAGTCAGCCTGTTACACTGGCTCCAAGAAGCACAAAGCTTCTTTTGACAACTCAGTTTGCAGGACAAATCTCTGATATAGGAGCTTGTCATGAAGTGTTCCCAACAAGATTGCTCCAATCCTGACCCCCATTTCCTTGCCTCCTCTTTCTCTTCCAGACCCGTGCTCTCCCACGTCAGCATTGCCCTATGCTGGGCTCTGTCAGAGGGACCCAGGAAAAATGAGGTTCAGAGGGTTGAAATAAAACTGCTAAGAGTTGATGTACTGAAAAAAAAAAAAGAAAGGAACTAATTTTAGCTACTACCAATAGTACACTAACTTGGCTCAACGTCAAAGCGGAAATAAGTCTAAAAGTATCTTAAGGGACCGAATACCCAGGATGCATTATTCAGAACAACACGGGAAGAGCAGTGCAGCTCACATTAAAGATGAGCTGCCAAGTATTTAAAAAAAACACTTGTGTGAATTTGCTTGTGAATGGCCTTGTAAGACTGCCTGCAATGGCTTTGCTGTGTTTGCTCTTTGTTTTGTCTTTAAAATACCAGGAATGCCAATATTAGCCTATTTTTCTACAGATTTCCTGAAGATCCCAAGGACACACTTTGAAGCCAAGCCTTAAGCAGAAATACTGGATTTTTAGCAAAACCTTCCTTTCTCTGAAATGTTAATTAGCCACTGAAGTGGAAAATTTTAGGGGAAAAAAGCAGAAATTCACAATATTTTCCTCTCAACCTTTCCTTTTTAAGCACAGTTTTGACATCCTTTCTTGCTGAAGCTATCCTCATTTATTTTTTCAGGGTGTTTTTTTTTTTTTTTTAGATCGTCACCTAAGAAGTTTAAAACACCCTTCAGCCTCTTAAAGCCTTTTCCCAGCCAGCAATGCCTGGTTTCTGACACGGTCTGGCTTATTAAGGGAGCCAGCAGAGCCCTATCTGCCAGGCATTTACAGGCTATAAGAACATGAGAAGAGTTGCAAGTTCTCCACAAATTGTCACTATAAATACCCATTCTCAAAGCACATTACTCACGTTGCAAATGTATCTGCAACTCTTGACAAACAGTGTTAACTGTGAGCTTGTCCTTTTTATTACCAGGCAATTGAGAACAAGTTACCATGTTACCCTGCTAATCGGACACTCGCACCCTGAGCTCACGGTGGGTCTTTCCCCCCACAGCTTTCCAGCTCTCCTTTTTTAGGGAACCTGAACAAAAACATCACTTTGTGAAGAACAGATGAAAGGAAACCAAGGGCTTCTGATGGCCCTTTCATCATCTGCAGCTCTTCAAAACCCCAGCAGGGCTCCTGCCTCTACCCACAGCACTGAGCACACAGACTGTGCTGTGAACACACAGGAGCACAGAGCTCCAGGCACCACAGACTGCATTTGGGCTCCAGGAGCTCACAATCACAGAATCACTTGAGCAGTACAGGACCTCTAAGGGCCATCTCGTCTCACCTCCTCCCAGCGAACACGGATATCCATGGTGTCCATCATGTGCTCAGAGCCCCATCCAGCCTAACTTTGAGTGTCTGCAGGGATGGAGGCACCCACCACCTCCCTGGACAGTGTATGCCTGCACCTCACTATCATTAAAAATACACATAAATAAAACACCCTTCTTCCTTATATCAAGATACGAGACGCATGATGTAGAGATGCTGCACCACTCTCAAAATTTCTTAAGGAAAGCAATCTGAAAAGCTGACATCTCAAGCATGATTTATTTTCAAGAGAAGGTGGCAACTCTAGCACAGCCACGTTCTGTTAGTGGAGCTCGCAGCACAGAATCACAGTCTGGTTGAGTTTGGAAGGGACCATCCAGCCTCCCTGCCTGTGGAGCATTCCAGCTACGCCTCACCCTGGCTGCATCATGTCTGATGCACTGCTCATGCAGTGCCAGGCAATGCTTCAGCAGCAGGGTGTATGCAGCTGGCTGCAGGGGAGTGCATGGACAGCAGGAGCAGTGGTGTTGAGTGGAGGCACAACCCAGCACCACATCCACTCTGGATCTCCCAGAACATCCCAGGATGAAAGGGACCCACGGGGATCATCAAGTCTGACCCCCAGCTCCACACAGCATCATCCAAAACTCAGAACTGTATTTCCATTTGCAACTTCTTGCAGCAGACACTGAAACCAGCCCCCTTTGTCACCTCCAAAGCGTGCAGCAGGTGAATCATTCTCTCCTTGGCGCAGCACATCCAACTCCCTCCCTTTTGGAGATGCACATCCTGAGAGCAGTGCTTTCCCTACAGCCAGTCAGTCCGAGCCCAGCAGCCACAGTATCTGCTTTGCTCACATGGCACTGCTTCCATATCTGTGGTCCTAATCCCACAGTAAATAGGCTTTATTTTTTGCAAATAAACCCACTGCCAAGTAGTATACTATCTGGCACAGCTTTGTTTAACTGAATAATTTGCTAGGACCGAATTACTATCGCCTGTATTAAATGTTGAGATTATCGAACATGTGCTTGTTCTGAATTAATATTTTATTGCTCCCAGGCCCTGTGTGGGCTGGCTGTTCTCCTGGAGTGCTTTAGCACCATGGAAACGTTGGGAGATATTTTCTCTTAATTGCATGAATGGTTGACAGATAACAGTACAGCACCGTGGAATTAAACCTTGGATGCTGATGAATTCTGATGAGCTGCTACGTTGTTCCTGTTGCTTTAGTTTTATTTCTAAACCTGGCAACATCTGTCTTTGTCCATTATGATTTCTGATAACTTCAATATCGGTGGGCAGCGCATCTGTGTGACACATGGGATGTAATCACCACGGCCACAATTCAGAAGGGAAGCCCTGAATCTTGAGAGAATTTCAGTTAAGGAAAAGGAAGATCTCTCGACTGAATAAAAACTCACAGATTGTTTGTTTTCCTTTTAATCTACATGTTTGTGGCATGGCTAATTCTCTAAATAGTCTCTTGGTTCTAAAGCAGTCAACAAAACACCAGTTAAGCACCATTACTCACTATTACTGACAGTAAATATAGATAGCTAGTTATAAATTGACTTTTTGTGTTTCTCACATTAGAATTGTTCAATAACTCGTAGGACAAAGCCCCAGAAATCTCTGAGCATTATCATAAGTGGGCAGTTCTGCAGACTACTCTTTAAAATATAATTTGTGCTGCATGATTCACCATTCTGTAATTGTTCAGGATGAACACCACCTTTGAGATAATATTTCATTGCCCACGTAAGCTTTGGACACACACCTTTCTCGCATCACTCGCCCTGCTTTGTGGGCCCTGCTGAGGTGCTCCACATGCATTTACTCAACATCACACAACTGCTTGCTGGATAGCAAACCACAGAATTATCCCTACAGCTACAAAACAACAACAGCATACAAATGAGATGAGACAAGGTACCAAACTCAGGCACAGCAACGACCTGTTGGGATGGCACAGGACAGCACTGCTGGCCCAGCCCTGTGCGCCTGCAGGTGGGGACAGCACACTGCCCATGCACCTCTGTTCAGACATAGCAGCACTTTCACTGTAACCTGCAGTAGGGGGCAGGGCTGGATGTTCTCCAAAGGTCCCTTCCAGGCCCTACAGTTCCACGATTCTGTGACAGCTTCAGTCTGTGTGCTTCAGCCCTTTGCAGCTGAGCTGGGGGCTGGAGTTCAGCCCAGGATTGCTTGGACAAGTCTACAGCACAAGCAGAACAAGAAGGAGCAGTTGGGTTTGCTTTTTTTATTTTTTAATTCAGTGAAATCTTGCATAACCTACAAATTATATCCTTTAAGACAAGAGAGATCAAGCAACAAATTTAGCTACAGTTTTTGCCCTTTTGTAAGAGCAGAATATTAAGCTATACGGCTGAAGCTGTGGCTGAGCACCACCCCCACTAACATCCATGCTCTGGATACAACCTGAACCCCAATGCTACACCAAGGATCCACCACTCCTCAAAACTTTTCTATATGCACTCTAAACTTACAAAGTACTTTCAAAATTCTTTCCTGGCTTTAACGAGAGCACATCACATACAGAGAAACTGAACTTTGCTGTAGGTGACAGACTGACAGCCTGGCAGGGATCCACAGGTTTTAACCCACCCGGTGCACACAGCAGCAGGGAAGCAGAGCACAGGTGGCACAGGGCAGGTCTGAGAGCCAGGGATCACACTGTGCCATTGCCCACCTGCTCTGCTGCCTGTGAGAGCTCCCAAGGAAGCCCTGCTTAAGAAAGTTGTATTGAAGCCATTTGTCTTCATTAAGAGAATATTCCATTAGAAACTTCTGGTAAAACCCTTAGTTTGGAGATGTCTTAAATAAAATGGATCCGAGCCAAATTCCAGATTCCAAATGAGACATCTATGAAAAGTTGTACAATTCCAGTTCAGTGCTTGGATCTGGATCTGATTTTGTCACTATGCCCTTTTCAAATATGCAGCAGCGAAGGTTAGAATTAACTGAGATCCTCGCTCTGAGGTGTCCCAAATCCAGGTCTGCGCTGTCTGCTCTGCTCTCAGCTGTGCTACCAGTGAGGGATGGCACTTCATGAAGCCCAAAAGGCTGTGTTTCCATGGACCTTCACAAG